TTTGGCCTGCAAGGGGTTCCGCGACGAACGGCTGCGCACGTTCGAGATGGCAGCCGACGCGGCCAACCTATTGCACCGGCGTGCTCTGCGCGCGCAGGACGACGCCGAGTTCCAGATGCTGAAGGGCGATTGGGGGCGGCTTAATCGGCCCGCCCGCAGGGGGCGCGCTTGGTCGGAGGAGCAGCGCGCGGCCCTGCAGAGGGTCGTGGACAAGAGGAGCATAGACGACCAGGCCGAGAAGGAGCGGGGGTTCCCGGAGTCTAGGTGGCTGTGCGTGGCGGGCGCGCCGGGGGGCGGCAAGTCGGCCGTCCTGCTGGAGGCGGCGCTGTCTGCTGCAGCGCGGGGCCTCGGCGCCCTCATCGCGCGCCCGACAGGTGTCGAGGGTCGCGGAGGAAATGTCCCAGCCTGCCGACCCTTGACCATTTCCAGTGGCCCAGGGTTGGGCCCCGCCCCGCTCGCCCTCTCGTTTCCCCCCCCCCATCGCTTGTCCGCGCCGGGCCATTCGCCTCCTTTGGCCATCCTTCCGCTGCCCGCCAGATTGCTTTATGCCGCCGCCAGGTCAGCTGGCCCGCAGCTTCGCGTCGCAGATCCCTGAGGCCGACCGCGTTGAGAACGTCCGCGTAGCCACAGTGCACGGCGTGCTCAATTACAAGCGGCCCGAGAAGGAGGGGAAGGCGCGCTGCCCCCCCCCGTCCGCGTTGCGCAAGATAGACTTCGTTCTAGTGGGCGAGGGCAGCCATAGCGCGGACGCGGAGTTCGGCAAGTTCTTCAAGGTGGTGTTGGAGCAGCCCCATCTGCCCTACTGAATGATCGTCGCGGACTTCCAGCAGCTTCGGCCTGTTCGCCTCGGGGAGTAGGTAACTGACGATGCCGAAGAGACCTCGTGCATGCAGGTGTGCATGAAGGTGGGCCGAGTTGACCTTGAGACAGTCTACCGCGCGGGGGGCAAGGAGCTCTTGGAGTTCCAGAGCCTCATGCGCACGACGCAACCCACGCGAGATGAGCTGCGGTCTCTCTTCGAGGGGCGGCATTTCTAGGATTTTGGAGGGCGCCCTCCAGGCCGCCATGAGGTTCGAGGAGCAGATGGGGTTCCTTTTATTTGGCTCTGTGGGGCGAACGAGGGTTCCGAGCGGGTGCCCGAGGCCGCCTTGCCCTTGGCCGGCGCTTCGCATCAGGAGATCGACGCTGGATTCGCCCCCGACCCGTCCAGCAGAGTGCAAATTATGATGGTGGCGATGAGGGGCCTCGTCATGCGTCTTACTCGGACTGCTGATAAAACCAAGGGCTTTGTCAACGGCGCCGCGGCGGTCATCGAGGGGAGCTAGTGCGGAAACGAAGTGTTAGTTGCGCGCTTGCGGGGGGCCGGGTAGTTGATGCTCGTGCGTCCACTGCGCGAGGGCGGCACATTGTTCCCGCCGCGCTGTTGCGGGTGCGCGGCGACGGTCAGGCGGGCGCGCGGGGCCAGCGTACCTGCCGGCGCCATCTGGTTCAGTCAGAAGAAGCATGCCGCCGTTCACGGCTGCGGCTACGTGACTGTCTCCAGGTTCTCATCCAAGGAGGGCTGCTTCATGTTCGGGGGGCTTAGGCAATCGGACTTCTTGCCCGTGGGGGGCCAGGGCGACGGAGGGCACCTGTGCCGCGGCGCTCGCTCGGAAGACACTGGGCCCGACGATTCCGACTTCGATGGGGGGCGGGTGCTCTTTGAGGACAGCGGGGGTTCTGTCTTGGATGAGCGGCCCGCGCGCGAGGAGATGCCGGGCTCCGGGCTCTGTGTTGGCGCGGCGTTCAACGAGGGCGCCGACGCGGGGAACGCGTCCCGCGGTGCTCATTCGGAGGGCGCTGGCTCGGAGGATTCGTGCTTCCTCTCCAGGCGGGCGCTTTTTGAGGGCAGCGGGCAGTCAGGCGTGGGCGAGCGGCCCGAGCGCGGGGAGGCCTACGAGGGCGCTCGCGGGACATCCTCTGACGAGGGCCGCCGCGCGGACAGCGAGGCAGAAGCGAAGCGGCCCGCGAGCTTGTCGGACTAGGAGGAGGCGGCCGCGCACGCGGAGAGCGATGTAGCTTCGAGACCCAGGGGCGGCGTCGCTAATCCAGAGGAAGCGCGGCGGCTCGACGACTCTGCCTTCGCGGGCGATTCCGTGGGCTTCGGGGGGGGGCAGAACGCGAGCGCGGAGTCCGGGCAGGAGTCCGTCCCACCGGGCGAGGCGTCGGCGCTGCCACTGCCGCGGCCTGGCGCTGCCGCTTCGGGATGGCGCAGTTCCTCTGAGGATGGCGACGGCGCTGCCGAGGGGGGGGGGGGGGGGCGCGCCCGGCGTGGAGGGGGGGTCGCCCAGAAATTGCCCAGGGCTCCTGGTCGATTGCCCGACCCCCGAGGAACGCCCCGCCACGCCAGAGCTTGCCCCCGCTTCCGATCAAGCTGACGCACTCCGTGCTGGCTTAGGAACGGCCGAGTAGGGCGCTGCGATTGGCAAGTGGGCGCCCGCGGCGCAGCTTTGAAAATGCGCGCGTTCTCTTCGTGGCTCTCTCTGGACTTTCCTCGCGGCCAATGGCTGTCAGCAAAATGTCCCCCGCCTTTGGGTTTGGCCCCGGAGCTGGAATGCGCCGCCCCCCCAAAAGGAAGTGCGTTCATGGGCGTAGAGGGCGGATGCGAGGGAGAGGGAGACACGCGTGAAACTTCACTCGGCCTCCTTGATCAAATGGTCGTAAGATCACTGTTGTTGTTTTGTTGTTGTTGTTGTTGTTGTTGTTGTTGTTGTTGTTGTTGTTGTTGTTGTTGTTTTCCTCCCCTTACGAGCCCGGCGGGCAACGTCGGCGCTTCCCGTTCATGTCTGGTCAGGTTCCAGGACAATGGCCGTTTCGCTCGAGACATCCTCGAAATATCGGCTCTGGAGGGCCCCCCGAGTCGACGTCGTCTTGGAATCGCTCTTGAAGGGGCCCATCGTGGCCCACAAGAGCTCCCAAAGGCACCCCAGAGGACCCAAAGATGGCCCCGAGAGGCTTCAAAGAGAGCCACTGGGGGCTCCCAGACGGCCCAAGATAACCCAACATACCCAAGGTGGAGCCAAGACGGCCTGAGAGAGCCCCCCCGCAGAACCCTAAGACGCGCCCAGACAGCCCAAGAAGACCCCAGGACCCCCCAAGAGGACCCCGACAGGCTCCCAAAAGGCCCCCAGAATGCCCCATGGTAGCCTTCGATTGCCCGAACAGCCACCGATTGCCCCTGCATGGTGGCGGATTGCGCCACATAGATTGCAACACAGAGCTGGAACAACATGGGTGCCATAATAGACTCTACCCCCCTTAGGATTATCACATCCCCTTTTCGTATTGCAGTGTATTCATGATTCTGCCCCCATCGTTCGTATTTAATTTGAACTCGTACCATCCCAGCCGAGTCGGTATCCTCCCCCCGACATCCTTTTGTAAAACGTGCTATGCGCTCACACGTGTTTATTACATATCATCAGTTCTCAATAATCCCTTGCAGAACATTTGAGGAAGTGCACGCACGCGCGTTGTCGTGCGCGCGTGCCGACATCTCTCAAATGCAGTAGGTTTCGTCATGATGTCAACATCGAGTGTTCCAACACATATAAACACGTATGGTTTCGCATCACGGACTTTCAAAAGTTTGCGCGCGCGCTCTCGCAAATTTCTAAAACATGTATAGGTTTCTCACCATTTTCAGAACATGCTACCCCTCAGGCACCGCGCGCGCATGCACCGCGCAGGCTTGAGCGATTCCTCGCCGTCCCTGGGGGGCTGGGGGCTGCGATCTGCGAAACTGTCGCCACTTTCGAGGGCTGCTGGTGGGCTCGCCACTTTCGAGGGCTGCTGGTGGGTCCAGCGGAGCGAAGCACCGCGCAGACCTGAGCGAGACCTCGCCGTCCGTGGGGGGCTGCGATCTGCGAAACTGTCGCCACTTTCGAGGGCTGCTGGTGAGTCCAGCAAAATTAGGCACCGCGCAGACCTGAGCGAGACCTCGCCGTCCCTGGGGGGTTGCGATCTGTGAAACTGTCGACACTGTCGAGGGCTGCTGGTGATTCCAGCGGAGAGAGGCACCGCGCAGACCTGAGCAAGACCTCGCCGTCCCTGGGGGGCTGCGACCTGCGACACTGTCGCCACTTTCGAGGGCTGCTGGTGGGTCCAGCGGAGTAAGGCACCGCGCAGACCTGAGAGAGACCTCGCCGTCCATGGGGGGTTGCGATCTGCGGAACTGTCGCCGCTTTCGAGGGCTGCTGGTGGGTCCAGCGGAGTAAGGCACCGCGCAGACCTGAGCGAGACCTCGCCGTCCGTGGGGGGTTGCGATCTGCGAAACTGTCGCCACTTTCGAGGGCTGCTGGTGGGTCCAGCGGAGTGAGGCACCGCGCAGACCTGAGCGAGACCTCGCCGTCCCCGGGGGGCTGCGATCTGCGAAACTGTCGCCACTTTCGAGGGCTGCTGGTGGGCTTGCCACTTTCGAGGGCTGCTGGTGGGTCCAGCGGAGCGAGGCACAGCGCGGACCTGAGCGGGACCTCGGCTTCGTTGGGGGGCAATGTCATGTTGTTGCTGCCCCGCCGACGTTTCAAGCCCCTTGCCCAGTCTCCTTTTGGACCTTGCGTTTTCCTTAGTGACTCTGGGGTTCACTTAGTTACTCGTCGTTTTTTTCTTGATCTGGGACCTGCGAACCTTCCGAATGCCGCTCGCAGAAGTATATGCGTCCATGTCACGTCGTCGCCTTCTCGTCAAATCTCCCAAGCTACTCCTGCCCCGCATTGCGCAGGGGTTGGGTACATCGCCAGGGTGATTCCAATTTTGGGGTCATCAGAAGTCCCGACCCTTTCCCTGGGGCCGGTTTTTCATTCCGAGCCGTTTTTGACGGCCCCGCGGCCCAACGAGGGCTCCCAGATGCCGAAAACTGCCAAATATCTCTCTTCGTGATTTTTTCACGAGGGGTCTGGGGAGCGAAGAAGCGACGGGGGGAGGGCGAGGGGAGGGTGGCTTTGGCGCGCGGAGTGCCGCAGGCGCCAATATACTTATAGACGAGCACGGCGACGCCAAGCTGGCGGACTTCGGGGCGTGCAGGGAGCTGGAGGCCCTGGGAGCTTCGGGTCGAACCTCTTGCGAGCGTCTACATCCCAGTCCTCCTTTCTCTGCTGCCTACGCTCTGACGTTTCGACGTTTTTCTGACGTCTTCGTCGGTTACGGGAGGTTTTCCAGACTCGGGGTGCTGTCCAGCAGCTGCGCCTCGCCGAGAGCGTTCCGGGGGTGCCCGAATCGTCCCAAACGGCCGCCGGGTTGCCGAGTTACGACCCGAAAGCCAGACTCGGCGGTGCACTTGTGTGGTTGTGCGGGTGGTGGGGCGAAGCTGAGAGGCAACGACTGCCGAGCGTCTTCTGGTGGCCGACTGCATGCATCGACTGCCGTGTGGTGTGGGGGGGGCTCGAAGCGTTTGCATCCTGGTCATCGCCTTCTTGTTCGTGCTCCCCCAGATCTCCGACAATATTCTCTTGTACAGCTGTGATCTGGAGCTCCGATCTCTTAATTTTCTATTGTTCGTCTTCGTTCGTCCTCCTTGCCTGGCCTCCCCCTGACTGCCCCCTGGCATGGCCTCGGCCTTAGCCTGGCGTCCCCCTGGCCTCCCCCTGCCTTGGCTTCCCTTGGCTCTGCGCCGCCCCATCTGGCCTCCCCTTGGCCTCTCAGGGCGGCCCCCCTGGTCCGCGTTTGTTTTCGTCGTTCGTCGTCGTTCGTCCTCTTCCCCTGGCCTCCCCCTGACTTGATGGGGCTTATTTTCCACCACCACCACCATACGTTGGAGGGGGGACGGAGGTGGAGGACGAGGAGGAGGAGGACGAAAAGAAGGACGAGGAGCAGGAGGAGGAGGAGGAGGAGGAGGAGGAGGAGGAGGAAGGAAAGGGAGGAGGGAGGAGGGAGGAGGAGGCGGGAGGAGGGAGGAGGGAGGAGGAGGGGGGAGGACGGAGGAGGAGGAGGGGGAGGGAGGGAGGAGGAGGAGGGAGGGAGGGAGGGAGGGAGGGAGGAGGGAGGGAGAGGGAGGGGGAGGGAGGGAGGGAGGGAGGGAGGAGGGAGGGAGGGGGGGAGGAGGAGAGGAGGAGGAGGAGGGAGGAGGGGGAGAGGAGGAGGAGGGAGGAGGAGAGGAGGACCCCCTCCCCCTCCAACTTATGGTGGTGGTGGTGGTGGAAAACAGGCCCATCATGACTCCCCCCATCGCCTCCCCCTGGCCTGGCTTCGCTGGGCTCGGCTCCGAACGTGAAGATGGCCCCAAGAACCCCCCCACCTACTCGCCCCACTTTGCCTGGTCCTCGGCCTTCCTCGTGCAATAGCCAGTCCATGCGTACCACCTGCTATTTTTAGTCCCGGCGTTTCTCCTCGATTTTGGCCCTCGGGGGCCGTTGTCGGGCCAGAGTGCCATTCGACCTGGATCCAGGACGAAAAACTAATCTGTGGAAGCTGTCCGGACCTTTTGGGCCGCGGATTGAACAAATCAGATCGGCGTGTGTCAGGGTCTGCTGATTCTTCTCTTGCTGCTGCTTTGACTGGCCGTCTTCGTCGTCGTCGTCGTCGCTGCCGTCCTCACGCTCGTCCTCCCTCCCCCCTCCATCCTCCGTCCCTCCAGGGAGCGGGGGAGGAGGAGGGGGAGAGGGCGGAGGAGCAGGAGGGGGGGGGGGAGGAGGGGGAGGGAGGGGCAGGAGGCGCGTGCATTTGTTCCTCGAGCAGGGCAGCCTCTGGGTTTCCTTACTCGTGTTTGAAGAGCCGCTGGGTGTCGGGCCTGCGCGGGCCGGTTGGTCTGGTTGCTGGCTGCCCTCGTCGGGTTGCTTGGTCTGGTCCCCTGGCTGCCCTCCTCGGGTTGCTTGGTCTTGTTTCTGGGCTGCCTTCCTCGTGTTGGGCCTCCGCTTCTCGTGCGCAGCTCGTACGTTCTCTCGGCGGCACCCCGCGATGGTCTGCACGATGTGAGCGGCTCTTTCTCCTGCTCGCTTCGTTCGGCCTTCCTCTTCTTTCGTACCCCAATCTGCCTCGGCGCGCCCCGCCTTTCGCCCGACCGGTGCCTGACCGCCTCTTGCACCCTTGCGCCCGCTGTCTTAGAACGTTTCTTGGTTCGTTGCTGCCTAGCAGTGCCTGGCAGTGCCGCGCAACGCCACGCAGTGCAAAGCAGCGCAAAGCTATGCCAAGCAATGCCAAGCCATGCCAGCCCATGCCACTCAATGCCAAGCAGTGCCAAGCAATGCCCAGCAATGCCCAGCAATGCCCAGCGGAGCCACGCAGCACCAACAAATGCCTTCCATGCTGACTGTCTGACCCGGCAGGCTTCCCCCTAGTTGGGGTCGCGCGGGGCTCCTCAGCACGATCCCCCGTGACGGAGCGCCCCGATGTCAGGACGTCGGAAATTCCCGCCTTTGCGGTCTCTGCTGGGGGATGTTGCAGCCACGGGTATGTCGGGCAAGTCGTCCAGGGCTCGACTCTGTGCTGGCCTGCCTGCCGCAGTCCATTACAGTCAGGGCGCATATTGAGGATGAGCGACTTTCCAAGGTTACCCTCGCATCCTTCCCCTCTGGCCCATCCTTGGCCACTTTCGCTGGCCGCGCCCCTTTCGAAAGGTGTCGACATGGCCTTCCAAGGCCGTTGCATACTTAACGTGCGTCCTTGTTATGCGCCTCGACAGTAGCTTGCACGGCGCTCTTCGTCCCTTGCCCTTGTAGCCCGCTGAGGGGCCTCAGGTGGCACAGCAATGGTGCCGGCCAGGAGGAAGGGGGAAGAAAGGGCCCCCTCGTCGCCACTGCTGAACGCGGCTCGAACAACTTGTCAATTTAGACTCCGGGAGGGGTCCGGGGACCTATTCTGAATGGACTTAGAGCGGATTTGCCCTGGTCCCCCCTTCGGAGCTGAAATTTTTGAGGCCCATCCATCGCATGCCCCCTGGTTGCTTCCAACCCTGTCCTATCGTTTCAGGTGAGATGTACATGTGTCGTCCATCTGGAATCGCTGGGTCGCACCGTGCCATCCTTCCCGCGGATGGGCGTGTGAATGATGAGCGGGTTGGGCCAGGGAGCTGCGTATTGGCCTGCCCGCGCTTCAGAGGCGCGATCTGGGGGTTAGCACCGGGGGGCGGCTGCTGGCTGTCCATCTTCGGGCCCAGTTTTCCCTGGCACGCCGACAGAATGTGTCTAGATCCACTGCTTCGGAGTCGTGCCCTGGGATCTCGAGGACTAGTGGATATTACCATCTGACCGCCCGCATGGATGGGCAGATTCCATATCCATCGCTCCCCGAGACCCCAGGATACAGCCCCGCTGCAGTGGATATGTACTATGCTGGCGGCGCACCTGAGGTGTTCCCAGCCTTGCTCTCCCTGGCGCACTGAGGAGCACGAGGAGGAGGAGGAGGCGGAGGCTGATGAGGCGGAGGAGGAGGAGTATGAGGAGGAGCAGGGGGTGCGCATTGGATCCAGTCGGTGCTCTCCTGTCCAAGCGAGAGTTCCCTGATTATCCAGAGCCCCTGTACGTCCACGGGCCTCCCTGGGTAGAGGTGGAGGGGGGGGCAGGCCAACTGTTGCGCCCGTGGTTCCTGTCGTTGCAGCAGGAGGCGGGGGGACACGAGAGGAGCATGTTGGTGGCGATGGTGATGATAACCATGCTGAGGACCATGATGATGCTCTTGCTGCTGATAATGATGACGATGCTGATGACTACGATGCCGATGGTGATGCTGATGCTGCTGATGATGATGATGATGCAGATGCTGATGATGCTGCTGATGATGATTATGATGATGGTGCTGATGATGATGATGAGGATGATGATGCTGTTGATGATGCTGTTGATGATGCTATGCTGATCATGGGGATGATGATGGGGATGGTGATGATGATGGTGGTGGTGATGATGCTGATGATGGTGATGACTACGACGACGGCAACATCGATGATGATGCTGATGATGTGTTTGATGATGATCATGATGAGTGTGATGCTGATGGTGTTGGTGATGGTGGTTGTGGTTATTGTGGCGGTGATGATGACGGCGACGATCGAACACTAATACTGATTATACTATAATGCGATGGCGACAAGGATGGCGACGACGATGATGATTAGGATGATGAGGATGATGAGGATGATGGTGCTGATGATGATGCTGAACATGATAACGATGACGATGACGAGGGTGCTGCTACTCATGATGCTGATGGCGGTGCTGCTACTGCTGCTAACGAGATGGCGATGGCGATGGCGATGATGGGGATCATGCTAATGATGTTTGTGTTAAGAATGATGGCGAGTGTGATGGTGACGGTGACGATGATGATGGTGATGATGCCGCTGATGGTGGTGGTGGTGATGCTGAAGAGGATGTATAGGATGATGATGCTGCTGATGATGATGATGCTGATACTGACGTGGATTATGATGCTGATGCTGATGCTAATGCTGGTCCTGATGATCATGATGATGCTGATGATGCTGATGATGATTCTGATGATGAGGATGATGGGGATACGGCTGATGATGAGGATGCGGATGCGGTTGTGGATTGAGGATGCTGATGATGACGATGATGACTATGTTAATAATGTTGATGATGCTGATGACGATGACGACGATGATGATGCTGCTGATGATGATGCCGCTGACGATGATGATGATGCTGAGGATGATGCTGGTGATGATGATGACGATGATTAAGCTGCTGCGGTTGCTGCTGATGGTGACGATGATGATGAGGATGATGATGAATATGATGATGATGATGATGATGATGATGATGATGATGATGATGATGATGATGATGATGATGATGATGATGATGATGATTATGCTGATCATGATGACGACGACGACGACGACGGTTATTCTGATGTGATGATGTATATGATGCTGCTGCTGATGATGGACAGGATGAGGATCTGGAGGATGAGGCGGATGAGTGGGAAGATAGGGGGAAGATGGGGTAAAGGAGGAGGGAGCGAGGGGGAGGGGGGGGGGTAGAGGATGATAATGATGATGATGATGATGATGATGATGATGATGATGATGATGATGATGATGATGCTGATGATGATGCTGATGATGATGATGATGAT